AAATATTGCATATACATATTTATCTACATAGCTATATTTAAGACCTCATCTTGCAAAGCACTGAACATCCACAAACGTTCTTAAATTCACAGAAATTATGGGTCTCAGCACTTCACAGTAGCTTCTAGCACCTAGCCAGAGTGATCCCCTAGATGCAAGGGATGCTTTGTAAAAGCATCAGGTAAGGACAGATGACTTTGAATACCAAATCTAAGGCTGCAAATACTGACCATTTTCTCCTGCTTTCCCTTTGGATGGTGCTAGACAATGAAACATTTGGTCTTGCTCTGTGGTGATCAGTCTTACAGAACTCACAAGTAATTTCCAAACATCCCGTTGCAAAACTTCCAGTTAACTGGTGAGAACACAAACCAAAGCTTCTCTCTCCCATCTGTGACTTTTATTCTCAGCTCTTCCTGCTTTCATTTTCCTTCATCTCAATGAAGTAATTCACCTCTTCCTTGTAATCATTATGTTTGTAAGGCAACCCAAAATATCCTGTAAGCATTTTCCAAACACAGATAAAGCACAGTCTACGTCTAAGAAACAAATGTACCATACAGAGCCACTCAGAGATGAAAGGTTTGGGACGAAGGACTGTGTTCCTAGAATGTATCTGCCACTTCTCTGGCAAGATTTATTGATTTGTCCTAGAGAGAGTACCCCTATCTGGGAATGACGGATTTCAAAATCTCCCTTTCCTTTCAGCTCTATCATGTGTTTCCCTAATCGTAACTTTGATCCAATGGCCTTTTCCTCTTTTCTTCTCTTAGTGGCATTACTGGATTCCCCTGAACAGGTAACAATTTCATCTGTCTGTAGCAATGGTCAATTTTGATTCGAACTGTAGAGTTTTAGGGCAGTTATGCAGCCCAAAATGAACTCCAGACAAATATTAAAGCATGAAACTCTATTTTCTTCAACAATGTTGTCAGGGCTGAAAATGTAGTGGTGTAACCAGCAGGAAATACTACAGAAAAAAATGCGTATCACCTTTTCAATAGGTTCACTTTCAAGCACTTCTCACCTGTGCTAAACCTCCAATCTCTTTGACGCAGACATAGAGCCTGAACAGGTCCAGGGGCTTCTTGCCCACAGCTGGCAGACTGGCCACGGGCGTGCCCCTCTCCTCCATGAACGTGAGGTACCGATCTACCCACATCTTGCGCTCCGGCTCGTTTCCTAGTTCATAGACTTTTGTGATCTTCTCTCCAGTTGTGGTAGAGGAACTTGATTTCTAAATCGCAAGAAGAAAAAAAAAAGTTGGGGGAAGGGCGGGAGGGGGAGGGAAAAGAAAGTAAGCAACTCACAACACTGAAAAAGAGAAGATGTCAAACAAACTAAAGCTATCACACAACAGTCAGGAATGAAGGCTACTAGTTCAGGCACAAACAGTACATTCTGTCCATATACAGAAAATTCAGCTTTTTAAATAAAGGGCCCAAACTCCCCATTTTCATTATTTCTTTCACTGATCTGAACTTTGGATCCCAGAAGGCAAGTTTCTGATGTTGCCTCATGTCATTTTAAGAAGAGGTAGCTCTCACATAGTGCTTCTCATCCACTTATCTCAAAGTGCTTTGTAAGCAATAATTTGGGTAAAATTAAAACAAGTTTGTCCCACACAAGTTTAGATAATCCTAAAAACAAACCAAATCAACCCTCTCCCCTTTGCCCCCCAAAAGGGGCTAGAAAAACTGAAAGTGTTCCTCCAGAACAGGAATTGCACAAAAGTAGCCTACAGCGTGAATCATGGCAAACTAGTACACCGAGGAGTACTCTCTGTATAGAGTCACAAATGGTTATGCTTTACTACTGCTTCACACCACCGCTGGCCAAAAAGCAAGATGAGCAAGAGTGCTACAGTACAAGGAGACTGGTGGCAATGCTCTTTGTGAACTGCCAATTAGCTGTCTGAGCCAATAATGCTTATGAATAGCTACTACTCTCCTCCTTTGAAAGAGGACAGAAGATAGCCATCTCACATGTCCTACCTTGAAAAGAGAACGTGTATTATGACCTGGGGAAAAGCAGAGATGCACAGCGATCAGAGCTGAACCACCATCAGGAAAAACGAAAGAGGTGGAAAGAGCAGAATTCTTTCTCATGTGGCAGAAGTGCAGGAGTGAACCCGTTTTCCTGCTGCTATTTGAGCTTTACAGCTAATGAAAGCTCACGTTATCTTGATGCCTGTTTCTTCTCTATGTGGAGATGGCGGAAAGCACTGAGGCTGCTACACAAGCTATAACTTCTCACCATATCTTTTCTGTGCAATATAACCCTGTGAGCTGGGCTCTGTGCCATGTGTGGATGGACTACACCCTATCTGAGCTGCCTCTGATCTGACAGCAGAGAGGGGCTGCTGCTACTGCAGGAAGACCCTCCTGCTTGCAGAAGGTGAAGCGATTTGCTCAGCAGTGGAAGATGGGAGTGGTTCAGAATTAAACACAAGAGAAAAGGATTGACATAAAGCTTTGGGAAAGGAGCCATATATATGAAGGGAAACATAGCCTTTCTGTCTGTACAGTAAAATCCTAAACTTGATTGTTGACTGCAGTAGACACTTTTTAAACTCATCTAGTCAATCACTCTT